GAGCAGAACAGGCAGATCAACAAAGTACACTGCTGAGGGGAGCAGCAGGCGAAATAGGAGAGGTCTGCTGTGCCATGTGGGTCACCTCCGGAGCCTGGGATTGAACTTGCACTGAAGCGGCTGCAGCTAGCTTGCAGTACTGTATCCTAACCCACTGTGCCACCAGAGAGGGCCCCCTTCCAATAATTTGTAATGGCCAACACTATTTGTTTTTGTGTATGTCTGTGTGCATTTATATATGATATATATTTTTCTTGGTTCTTTTTCTGTTTAGAGCTCTACGTTTTTGGTCTTTCTGTCTCTGTTTACATCATATTGTTTTAAGTCATATAGATAACAGTTTTTGATATCTAATATTGGTATATTCATTGGTCTGTCTTTCATTGATTTTTAAACCAATTTTTAGCTTTTATTATACTTACTTTCCCCATGATAATTTAATATTTATTTGAACTGTATATTAAACATATATATGTTTAGAAAAACTTCCCTTTGATTGGGATTGCACTGAATTTATAGACCAGTTTAGAGACAAATAACATCTTTATACTAATGCAACTTCCCAACCAAGGATAGTTATTTCTTTCATGCATTCAGACTTCCTTGTATGTTTTTCAGTGTAATTTATACTGTTATTTATCTAGGTCTTTACAGTTTTCACTAAGTTTATTTTTTGACATTTTGCTATTTTCTGCACTCCATAAAATGGATCTTTATTTGTCCACATATTTAATAGTTGACTATAGCAGTACCTAGAAAAGCCTGAATTTTTTAAGTTGATCTTTTACCTGACTGACCCCCTTGCTGAAACTTCCTTTTAAGTAATTTTTCATGTTGATTATTCCAGATTCCTGGCTAGTAATCATATCACCTGCAACTGGTTTTTTCTTTAGGCTCATGCAGAATCAAGTAAAACCTGGCTGACCTCGAAGTTTACTGAACTCAGACAACTGCTTGATGAAGAAGAAGTGCTGGCCAAGGAATTCATTCATAAAAACACAGAGCTGGCCCTCCAGGAGTACAGGGACCGAATAGTCTCTTGTGGGAAGCAAATTGATGCCATCAATGGCCTCTCCAGCAGGGTCTGGTGTATCAGCCAGGAGCCCGATCCAATACTGCTGCTGCAGGTAATCCTGGGTTTCTGCCCTCACAGGTGACACCTGCGAGGTTTCACTGTGGCTACTATGGCATTGAACACATTTTTTTTAAGATTTATTTATTCATATAGAACTGGGGTACAGGCCAGAGATGCGGAGGGTGAGAGGATTCACCAGAGACATAGTGGGGAGCAGAACAGGCAGATCAACGAAGTACACTGCTGAGGGGAGCAGCGGGCGGGTCAGGAGAGGTCTGCCGCGCCATGTGGATCTTCTCCAGGGCAGGCAGGAATCGAACTCATGCAGAAGTGGCTTAAGCTTCGTAGTGCAGTGCTTTAACCCGCTGCGCCACCAGGGAGGGCCCTGAACACAATTTTTACACATTGAATAAATACAGAGAGAAGTACCTTGTTAGCTGGCAGACTTTCTTGCTCCCAAATGGCCAGAAATTATACATTGTTAGGAAGATAATATACTTTTGGAGAAATTAAATAACATCGTCATCATTTTTGAGAGCCTCGTGTCCCCAGCACTTCATGAATCTTAAAGCTCTAGGATTTATGAGAACTCTGCAAAGTGGGTTTTCGTACCCCATTATATGAGTGAGATATTGTCTCAGGGGGGTTGAAATGACTTATCTAAAGCCGACAGCCTAGTAGGTGGGAGAGTTGAGGTCAGAACCCAAGTCTGTCTGATTCTAAAGTCACAAGCCCTCTGCCTGCACACTCTCGAGACACGCTTCCAGGAGGGCCTCCGCCTGTACACTCTCGGGACACCCTTCCAGGAGGGCCTCCGCCTGTACACTCTC